CTCAAGGCCAGTCTGAACTGCATAGGGAGAACCCATCTCAAAAAGACAAAAACAAAAACAAAAACAAAAAAACCCTAAACTGGAAGAGAGGATCCGGGGAACCCCAATTTGTAGCCTACCCCTTCAGAAACACTCAGGGTTGAGCTGGCACCCTGTAGAATCTGAAGCTATGACCAGGTGAGTAAGGTCAGAAGTCCTTTCTCCTTTTGTCAGGGGACTGAACCAGGGCTTCACCTACACCATGCTTGTGCCCTACCGCTGAGCTCCAACCCCAGCCCAGAGGGTGTCGGACCGAGTTAGAGGACACCCATGAGGAGGGGACTGTAGAATCTGCAGCACTGACACTCGGGTATTGAGGAGAAATTTCCACACACTTGGTGCCCGGAGGGCTCCGACATCCATCCCGCTGCGGGAGCCTAGGAGAAACTGGGTTCCTTTCTTCCTGAAACTCAGCACTGCATCATAGATTTTATTTTCTTATTGCCCAGAGCAGCGCAGTCTTTATGACTTTGCTTCACAATAAGTACCTCAATAGTCATTTAAATGACTCTGCTTTACTGTGACAACTCTTTACCAGACTTTCCTTACCTAGGTAACAGTGCTTTAAAGGTAGGACATTTATAAAGGCCCTAGAGTAACTGATGGTAAGGTCTCAGTACAGGTAATGCAGACATGAAGGGGTTCTTTTTAATCACAATAGGAAGGAAGGAGGTGATGGTGACATGACCGTATCTAACACCTCAGGACCACATGCTTAAAAAGGTTAAGGGAAGGGGCTGGGGATTTAGCTCAGCGGCAAAAGCACCTGCCTGGCAGGTGTAAGGTGGTGAGCTCAGTCACTGGTACCAAACAAAACAAAACAAAAAAGGGTGAAAGTGTACATGCCTGTAAGCCCAGCACTCTAGTCTGAGGGGTGGAAGACAGTGAGTCCAAGGCCTGCCTGGGTTCCACCATGAGTTCAAGGCTGGCTTGGACTACAAAGCAAGACCTTGTATCAAATAAATATAAATAAAGGATTGGGGATATAATTCGATACTGTGTGCATTTAATCCCTGGTACAAACAAAAGTTAAACTAGCATATTTAACATTGGGATAGTTTTTTTTTTTTTTTTTTTTAACCAGAATTAAAAGAGAAAGGGAAGCTGGATGTGGTGGTGCCTGCCCCATGTAACCCCAGCGCTGTGCAAGGCTGAGGCAGAAAGGACATGAGTTCAAGCCTAGCCTGGACAATTTAGCAAGACCCTGTCTCAAAATAAAAGCCAAAAGGGCTGGGAATGAAGCTAAATGCAAAGACCTTCGTTCAGTCCCCAGTACCCACCCGTCTTCCAAAACAGGAGCCAGGCAGAGTGGCAGACGCCTGAAATCCAGCTGCTCGGGAGGACCCACATGGGAGACTGGAAGATAACCAGAACACAAGGCCCTGGGTTCCATCCCCAGTACCGTAGATAGAATAAAATAAAATAAAACAAAAACATGTGTGAAAAGTTTTCTGACTGTAGCAAGGAGCTAAGCCTTAACCCTTTACCCTTTCTAGGCATGGTCTACATTTTTACAAGAATACATTTTGTGTTCCTCTGTCTCTGTCTCTGTCTCTGTCTCTGTCTCTCTCTTTTGTCTTTTGGAGACTGGGTATCCATATGCAGTTCAGGCTGGCCTTGAGCTCACTCTGTAGCCCAGGCTGGCCTCGAACTCGCAAAGATCCTCCTGCCTCAGCCTCTTGAGTGCTGGGATTACCAGCGAGTGCTGGGATTACCGGCGTGTGCCACCATGGCTGGCTTCTATCATTTTTTTTTTTTTTTAGTTGCCATTACAGAAGTCTGGACGAGGAAGTGTGACAAAGAGGATGAGCCCAACCCTTCGCTTTACAACTCTGAATTCAGGCCAAATGAAGGGGAACTGCGCTCAGCCCTAGCTGTACCAGCCTTGACACCCACTTGCCAGGTGAATGGGTAAACAGTGACTGCAGGCAAGGAAGGCTGGCACTACAGGGTACTTCTGGGGTGCCAGGAGAAGGGCAAGTAAGGTAGCAGGGCTGCCTAGGCCTCACTTTCAAAGAGCTGTTTCCTAGGTGGGAAGACAAAGCTCCAGAAAGCCACCTGGCAGTACACCGAGACAGGGCCCCTGCACTCTGAGCACACCCACGTGACAGCCTTATCTTCGCATGGTAGGGTTATTTATTTACAGAAGGCTGGGACTTTCATGCATTCAGGATTTACTGAGCTACTGTGTCAGGCACTGATGAGGGGCAGTGGTATCCAGCAGGTGCTTAATAAGGGTTCACTGCATTGAATGAGAAGCTTAGGCCAGCATTCAATAGACACTCAATAAATGCTCCTCAAATTAAATAAATAGGGCATACACGAATCACTTGTGCAATCTGACAAATGTTGAATTGTGAGATGAAAGAAATACCAGGGGGTCTGGTGTGCAGAAAGTCCTCCAGCCTTGCACACATCTGCCTTCCTGATTTGAGTTCCAAATACCAGAGACCAAAGATGAAGGAATCCAGACCATTCAACAACGTGGTCTTTCGTCTTCCACCCACCCATCCATTCACCTGTTCACTTGTCTACCCATTTGCCTGTTTACCCATTTGCCTGTTTACCTGTCCATCCATCCATCCATCCATCCATCCATCCATCCATCCATCTATCCATCAATCTATCTATCCATTCATCCATCCATCCATCCATCCATCCAACCATCGATCTGTCCATCCATTCATTTGTTTACCTGTCTATCCATCCATTCATTTATTCATTTATCCATCTACCTACCCATCCATTCATCTGTCCATCTATTCATCTGTCCATTCATTCATCCATTTATCTGTCTGTCCATCCATTCATCTATCCATCATCCATCCATCCATTCATTCATCTGTCCATCCATTCATCTATTTATCCATCCATCATCCATCTGTCTACCTAGCCACTCATCCATCTATCCATCCATCCACCCTTTCATCCATCCTTCTATCCATCCACCCACCACTCATCAGGGAATCATGATGTGCCGGTCACTGGGATACAGCAGTGAACAAGGAGGAGAGTCTTTTTTCCCTCATTTGTCGATGTGCTAATGGAGGAGACAGAAAAATAAGTAAACAAACCTTTTATTTACTTATTATTTATTTTGTACTGGGAATCGAACTTTCAACCTCGTGCTTGCCAGACAGGTGCTGTGCGATGAGCTCCATTCAGCCCTAGAAGAGCTGAGGGTGCTGGCTCAGTGGTAGAGCACTTGTCTAGGGTGTTTGAGGTCCTGGGTTTGATTCCCACAGTATAATGAAGCACAAAGGAAGAGGGGTGCACTTGGGTTCCATCTGCGATACCCACACAGGGCTCCCTCGTCAGACCAGGCATCTGCTGCTGCAGTTCTGGAGCTGGGAAGCGCGAGGTGAAGACACCAGCAGATCGTGTGTCAGTGAGGCCCTCTTCCCGGGTCTCGGGGCCCTGGCTGCTCCAGCCTCCTGCGGTGGGAGGGATGAGGGGTCTCTCCAGGGCCTCTCCTGACACTGAGGGTTCCACACTCGTAGTCACCCTCTAGTGCTCTCACTTGCGAGTTTGGTTTCAGTGTGTGGATTCTGGGACATAAACAGCCTGGAGGAGCATCACTGGCAGAGTGAGCAGCACACACATAGGTCTTGAGACAGGAATGGACTTGACCAACCAAAGCTGGGCTTGGCGGTGCACACCTGTAATCCCAATCCTCAGGAGGCCGAGGCAGGAAGACTGCAGTGAGTTCAAGCCCCGCTGAACTAAAAGAACAAGGAGTCCACACATGGGCAAAGCAGCAAGGGCTCCTGGACGAGTACAGGACGGGCAGGAGGTCGGGGCTCTGGTGCTGGGGAGGTAGCAGGGGCGAGTCAGATTAGCGTCCCAGGTCGGGCCCTGCCTCGAGGTGTAATAGGCTGAATGAGGGCCCATGATGTCCTTGTCTTTGAATATGTGTCCTTACTTGGTAAAAGGGCTCTGCAGAGGTGACTGGGTTAAGGAGCAGAGATGGGGGGTAATCCTGGAGGTCACCACTGGGGCCCCTACAGGAGGTGGAAAGAAGGGTTAAGAGAAGAGGAGCGAAGGTAGGAGGAAGGGCACAAACCAAGGAACACAGGGCCCACGCAGAAAGAAGCAGGGAAACGGACTTTCCTCAGCACCTCAAAAGGAACCCGCCCCGCCTGGCATTGTGGTGTAATCCCAGCACTCAGGGAAGCTGAGGCAGGAGAATCATTGAGAGTTTAAGACCAGCCTGGGCTACAAAGTGAGTTAAAGCCAGCCTGACCTGCATAGCAAGACTCTGTCTCAAAAAAGACAAATGGGGGGGGGGGGACCCACCCTGGCAGCACTTAGTTTTAATCTCTACCAGTGCATTTTGGATTTATGCCCTCCGGAACTCTAAGAGAATTTGTGTTGTATCAAGCGACTAAATGTATGATCATTGGTGATAGGTGCAATGGGAAAGCAATAGGATCATGCAAAGAACTTCATCGCACACATTTTTTTTCTTGCCCCTTTGGGACCGAGGACCCTACATATGCTAGTCAACCTCCCCAACCCTGAGCCACACCGGCAGCCCAGGTGTGTACTTTAAACAAAGGCTTTTCTGAGGCCGGGGATGCAGCTCAGCACTATGGCGCTTGCCTAGCACGTGTGAAGTCCTAGGTTTAATCCCCAGCACCAGGAATAAAGGAAAAGAAAGGCTTTTGTGGTCGCTGTTACAGAAAGGGCTTTAGGAGGGCTGCAAAGAGCTGCAGAGAGGTGGGGTGGGCTGGGACAGTGGGGAGGTGACAGGAGACATCTGGGTGAAGGGTAATGGTGGCCTGGGTAAGATGGAAGTGTCCAAGCGGAAGGAAGACCTCAGAGTTTAAGGAAGCTGTAAGGGTCAGAATGCTCTGGTGGATTGGACGCAATGTGGGAAGGGCACAGAAGGAATGGAACCCCCAGGTGTCACCTCGAGGGACCAGCACCCCCTATCACCCCACTTTCTCTGGAGCCTCACATACCCACACCACACTTGACAGATCGCTCCCAGAACACTGGGTGCTTTTATGCGATTAGCCAGGAATGGGTTCTCTGGGAAATAAATCCCCTCAGTATAAAGGGCTTTTATGAGCCAGGGCAGGGGATTAAAAGCAGCCGGGCTGTAGGGAAATCCCGGGGTCAGGAGACAGCTGAGTGTGGAGAATTTTCATCTAAACCCTAAACGTTTTTAATGTTCACTCCCTGAACTCAAGGGCGTCACTTTAAATACATGATAGGCAACATCAGCTGTTCTATTTTTCTTTTTAATTATACAAAGAGATCCCGGAAATGGCTCAGCCCCAGGCTGGCAGAAGGAAGGGAAGTTTGACGGCAGCGGCTGGAGGCAGAGACACTGAACCTGCAGAGAGACCAGAGACCAAACTTCCAGCCACCCTGAACGCCAGTAGCCAGCCTGACGCAGGACGTGTAAAAACCGTCACAGATGCACCGGCTTAGTTCGGACACAGGGCGTACGGACGCATCTCTGCAATCAAAATATCACGCGCTCCACTTCTGCATCTGTCTCCCGAGCTCGTCCTGCAGCCTGTCCTCTTCTCCCCTCCACCCTGTGTCTGCACAAATCTTCCTCTGCATCCATACTGCACCCCCGGGGGCCGGGCATCGTGTACACGTGTTGTCTTAGGTACTCAACTGGTCTGTAAGTAGATGCCATTCTCGTGCCAGCCTTGTAGATGGGGACTCTGAGTTTCCAGAGACTAAAGGGAACACACTCCCCCGAGCCGGGCTTGGGCCTCTGCCCTCCAAGGCATGTCTCCACTGGCTCTGGATACAGAGGCCACACCCCAGTGGCTGGCCAATCAGATGGCTTTCTGTACAACCCGACCAATGCGAGGCAGGTATAGGATTTATGGGCGGGACCAACTAAGTCATTTCCCCGCCTCTTCCCACCAAGCTTGACCCAGGGTGATGCGGGCTTCCCGCGTGTCCTGGCTCCAGGCTGCCACTCGCAATCGCTCTCCACGGATTCATTCAGGCCTCTCCTCTTCGCGTCCGCTGTCTTCCGTGGGCCTTGCGTTGCCTGCCGGGCAACTCCTACTTTAGCACCTCAACTCGGGCGCCTGGTTTTCTGGGCTGGAGTCTCGGGGATGCACGCGCAAAGCAGTCGGTTCGCTGGCTCCGGAAGGAGCCGATCCTTTTCCTGCGAGTACTGGGACCCACGGGAGGGAAGACGGGAGGGACCCAGGCGCCGATGGGGCGCCGTGCTGACGGCCAGACAAATCCGCGGGGCACTCGCGGCTGCTCGTCCAGCCAAACATCATGGCCACTGCCACTGGACAGGTGGGGTTTGGAGGGGCCCTGATATAATGGGGGCTTCAAACGCAGGTACGTGTGCCTGGCTCCAGAGGCTGAGTTTCTTTAAAGAGAGAGAGAGAGGTAAACATAACGACGAAACTGAGTTGCAAAACATTAGTTGAACCGTTACAATAGTTGTATTGTCTTTGTAGTTGTTCAGAACGCAAGATACAGATGTGATTTTCTCTGGCCTTATCCAGAGCATACTCATGGCACCTGGATATATTCATTTCAGCTCTCTCCCCGGCTGAAGACTCGGGCCACCCCACTCCAGGATCTCCCTATTGATTGCTTAGGGCTGCTGTAACAGCCTCTCCCGATGTGAGCACTCAGGATGACAAAACCACACTGTCCCACGATCCTGGAGGCTTGGAATCTGTGAGCAGCTGCTATCTACAGCCACACTACCCTGGAGTCACCAGATCGTGTGCCGGAGCCCGGGCTATAGCTCAGCGGCATAAGCACCTGCCTGGCAAATACAAGGTCCTGAGTTCTATTCCTGGTACCAAAAAAAGTAAGCAAACAAGCAAGCCCAGCCACTGTACCTCCCACGCCCTCCCTGCCCCACCAAGGTTCTAGGGGGACCCTCTCTGGGCTCCCTCTGCCTTTGAGTAGCCTCCTGTGTTCTTTGTCATGCAGATGACTGTCTTCTCTCTGTGTCTTTATAATATAAAGGACTTGGTGCTGCCAAGACAGTTTTAAAAAGGAACAAAGTTAAAACTCTTACCTCTACTTAAAGATTGATTATCTGAGAGAGGTGGTGCATGCTTGTAATCCCAGCACTCAGGAGGCTGAGGCAGGAGGATCTCTGTGAATTTGAGGCCAGCCTGGGCTACACAGTGAGACCCTGTCTCAAAACAAACAACAAACAAACAAACAAACAGATTGATTTAAAAAAAAAATCTTGACAGGGTACCACTAAATTGCCAGGTTCGGGGCTCATGATCTCCCTGTCTCAGCCTTCCAGAATGCTGGGATAACAGGTGGGTACTGCTATGGTCAGCTTATTTTATTTTTAACTGAATCCCTCCCCTGTACTCTAGTGCTGGCATGCAGACCCAAGACTAGAACATGTTTGGCAAGTGCTCTGCCAAGACCTATATCCCGAAGCCCTTGGATCATCTGGATAGTTTTTGTGACACTGGGGATCAAATCAAGGGGCATGAGCTCACTATGCTACATGCCAGCCTTTTCTTTTCTTTTCTTTCTTTCTTTTTTTTTTTTGGTCTTTTTCCTTTTTATTGGTACCGGGGATCGAACTCACGACTGCCTGCTTGCAAGGCAGGCGCTTATGCCGCTGAGCTAAATCCCCAGCCCCAGCCTTTTCAGTTATCTGTTTGTGGTTTGAGATTGGCTCCTGTTATGTAGCACGGACTAGCTTTAAAGTCCTGGTGATCCTTCTGCCTCAGCCTCTTGACTGCTGGGATTATAAGAGTGCACCACGATGCCTGCCTTGAATTCTGAATTTTGCACCCAGTCCCTGACGGTGTCTAACTCCTTCTGTTGTTCACCGAAGTTCTCCTATTGTGAAAACCTTCTGCACCACTCACTTAAGCTGCCTTCCAAATTACCTGTGAAGCCAGGACCACATCTGGATGACAGCAGTTTCCTGTATTCCGCCTGGCACAGGGACTCACCGGGAGGCCAAGCCCTGCTCCACAGGACAACTTCTAAACTCTGAGAAATGCCCTCTACTGACCACACACACGGGGCTTTCGAAGGGGAGAGTCTCCCCTCACTGGAGGCAAACAAGCACCACTGTCTCAGGGCAGGGGCTCAGGGCGTGGTGGTGCTTCTAGTGCTAACTCTGGGGTTTCTAGCTTTAGGGCAGTCAGAGGGGACTGAAGTAACAGGCAAGAGACTGTGATGGTTCCGGTACACCTGGCTTCCTAACCTGCACTTCAGGAAGCCCTCTGGAGGTTCTGCTGTGGAGCGGGGATTGAGGTAGTAAAGTCTTAGACTCGGGATCCACCGCCCGGTTTGAAGGTCTTATCCTCACTTTTCTTATCCATAAAATGGTGACGTTAATACCATGGAGTTGTCCTAAGAAATTCTCAATTTTAATATATTTAATAGAATAATAAAATACTTTATGATAGCTCATAGTTCATCCAGGTGTGGTGGTGTGTACCTGTAATCCCAGCACTCTGGAGGCTGAGACAGGAGGATTGTTGTGAGTTCCAGATCAGCCTAGGCTACAAAGTGAGCTCTAGGCCAGCCGGAACTGCATAGAGAGACCCTATCTCAAAAAGAAAAAAATTAAAAAATTAAAAAAAAAATATATATATATAGTTGATAGATAATTTTACATGTTTAATAAAGTGCTTGGAATGGTGTCTATCTTTGGGAAGGGCGGCTGCTACAGCGTTACCCATTTTCGCCCCATGTGCGGGGAGGCCAGCCGTCTGCCCCGGTCGCTCACACCGTCTCTGCTCAGCCCTGGCCAGGCTGCCACAGTCCTTTGGGTTGGATCTCCACCCCCTCATGTGCAGAGTGGACTGAAAAATTTCTGCCTGGAGTTTCTCGGATGTAAACCCGAAAGGCTGGGCTATACCTCCTAGCCACGAGGGGGCGCCAATCCAGACTGTCCTCTGGTTTCTCTTCTGACTGGCCGGGTGCTTTCTCCCAACAGGTCCAGCTGTCATATACAGGTTTGGTGTAGTACGAGGTTTCAGTTGGTTCTACAAAGCTGGAGAAAAGTTCCTAACTATCTGTCTTTCGATGCTCTGGGACTCGAAGCAGCGAAAACCGGAGGTGCCTCCTCCTGCGCCTCCTGGTCTGGAGAATATTTTTACTTTTGGTGCTAGGAGTCAACTCAGGACTTGGTGCATGCTAAGCATTCGCTCTACCACTAAGCGACATCCCTGGCCTTTTTTATCACTTTGTAATTTTTGAGTCAGGGTCTGGCTATGCAGTTCAGGCTGGCCTTGAACTCACTTTGTAGCCCAGGCTGGCCTCAAGCTTGCAACGATCCTCCTGCCTCAGCCTCCCTCGGGCTGGGATTACAGGTGTGTATGGCTACCACACCTGGCTTTTTTTTATTACTCCTGATCTGTGCAGATGGGGATATTTGAACTCTGAGTTAGAAGCAGAAGGGGAGAGACTTGATATAGGAGCTGGAGAACTAAACTATTCCTGGTTCTTTTTTTTTTTAAGAGTCAGATCCAAGACCTCAAATCTGCGAGGCAAACATTCTAGTCCTGAACTACATTTCCAGCCCCCCTTTTTATTATTAATATTTTTTTGGGTCTTTTTCCTTTTTATCGGTACCAGGGATCGAACTCACGACTGCCTGCTTGCAAGGCAGGCACTTATGCCACTGAGCTAAATCCCCAGCCCCAAGCCCCTTTTATTTTGAGAGAGGGACTCACTAAGTTGCCCAAGTTGGCTACAAACTTGAGATCCTCCTGTCTCAGCCTCCTGAACAGATGGCATCGGGGGTGTGCCCCATCACTAACTGCTTCCAATGCCCTTTTCTGAGGTGAGCCTCCCAGGTGCTTTTATTCCTCTAAATCAGCCACTCTCCTCTCCTGGCTTCCAACCTCACCCCTTCCAGACGTCAGACCCTGCCAACTTCCAGATGCTGTATGCAGCCTGTCCAAGCTGGGGGCTTTTGGAACCAAGAATGCTTTGTTACTTTATTCACTGAACTGGTTCCTACGAGGAAGCTCTCAGGGTGCGCATCTACTAGAGGGGAACAGGGACAAACTGGTCAGCACATATGCCAGCCAGATGACTGCAGACTCGGTAGTGATCAGAGCTATGAGGAAGTAATATTGGGGTGACCTGAGATCTTGACATGGGGGCTACTTTGGGAGCAGGAGGGTCTCTCAGGGGAGGTGATAACTGAGACACAGCAGTAAGTGGAAAGAGTAACAAGCGCAAAAGCCATCAGAGCCAGGCACAGTGACACAGGTTTGTAATCCCACTACTCTAAGAGGCTGAGCCAGGAGGGTCTCAAGTTTGAACACAAGTCATCATTTGGGAGGCTGAGACAGGAGGATTGCAGGTTTGATGGCAGCCTGGAGAATTTAGCGAAACAGCAACACCCTGTCTCAAAAAAAAAAAAAAAAAAAAAAAAAGTAAAGGGCTGGGGCTTAGCTTAGTGCAAAAGCGTTGGTTCAATCCCAGTACTGTTAAAAAAGAAAAATAAAGGGAGCTGGGATCGAGGTCAGTTGCAGAGCACCAATGGGTTTGATTCCCCAGTATCAAAACAAAACAAAACACTATTATGGCTGTGTCTGGATGTCCCCCCAGAGCCACATGCAGTCATGGAGGCAGGTTTCTAGAATTTCCGATTGATTTATTCATGGTCCAGTGCTGGGACTCTGGGTGAGTGCTACACCTGCCCTCGGGTAGCCTGCATACAGTACAAGGGACAGAAAGAGTCTTTACTTCGTGCTTCTCTCCCTTTTGCTTTTGCTATCTTCTGCCGCCATAAATTGTTGCCCCGACGCCACACCACCCTGCCTTGGAGCCAGCCGATTATAGACAGAAACCTCCACAAACCATAGCTAAATAAACCTTTCCTTCCTTCATTTTGGGTGTCAGGTATTTTGTCTCAGCAATGAGAGAGAAGAAACCAAGACAGCCACCAGAGAGAGCTGGGCACGGTGGTGTATACCTGTAATCCCAGGTAGCCAAGGCTGAGGCAGGAAAACTGCAAATTTGAGTCTGACCTGGGCAATTTAGTGACTTAGTGAGACCCCGTTTAAAAAGAAAAAGGGTTGGGGATGCAGCTCAGTGTGAAAGCCCTGGATTCAGTCCCTGTTACCACAAAAACAAAACAAAACGCCACCGGAGGAACCAGTCTAGGGCGGTGAGATTTCAACTCCAAGCCCTCAATCTTCATAAAAACCTAGGGGAGCAGGATGTGGAGGTGCAAGCCTGTAATTCCACCATGCAGGAGGCTGAGGCAGTGAGTTCAAGGCCATCCTGGGCTATATAGTGAGTTCAAGGTTGGCCTGAACTACATAGACCCTGTCTCCAAAAAACAAATACAAAAAATCGGCAGAAGGGGACCCCAGAAACTTGAGGGGAGGGGCGTCCAGTGTTGGCCGGTAATATGGGTGGGCGCAGGGGTTCCCTCTACTGATGACAAGAGTTAAGTTCACATCACAGACTGAGAACGCCTTTGGTTTGTGCCCTATGGGCTAATTCTGTCACTTGCTTCCCTATCATGTATTCATTCAACACATATTTCCTGAATGTCAATGTGTGCCACACGATACTTTGGATGCTGGGAGTAGATCTGTGCCAACTGTGCTACTTCCTGCACTGGAGTTGACATTCTACAGGACAGTCCCTCCCTTTGTTGGGAACTCAAGTAAAATTTATCTCTCTCTTTTTTTTTTTTTTTGGTACTGGGGATCAAACTCTCACGACCGTGCACTTGCAAAGCAGGTACTTAAGCTGCGGAGCTAACTCCTCAGCCCTAAAATTGATCTCTTAATAACGGGCTTCCAGCCAGAGATTCCTGCTTGCCACATGGCAAGACTCAGAATTCAGCTCCAGTGTGATCTCAGGGAAGTGTGAACGAATTTATTCATTGTCTACCAAAATAAAGATTCCACGACGGTTTCCATTTTCCTGGAATCTCTCAGCTTCTCCAGCCAGGTGTGGTGGTGCAAACCTGTATCCTGAGGTCTGGCATGCTGCAGCAAGAATATCTCAAGTCCGAGCCTAGTCTGAACAATTTAAGAGAAGCCCCATCTCAAAATGTAAAAAAAAAAAAAAAATTTTATAGTGGCTCTGGCTCTAGGTCAGTGCCCTGGGTTCTTTACTTTTTTTTTTCTTTTCTTTTTATCGGTACCGGGGATCGAACTCACGACCACCCGCTTGCAAGGCAGGTGCTTATGCCGCTGAGGAAATCCCCAACCCCTTAGTGCCCTGGGTTCAATCTCCAGTTCTGAAAAGCAAGCCAGGGAAAGAAAGAAAAGTTCGTGTTTGTTACTTTTCCCAGTACGGGAGATGAACAGCTAGCATTACAGCTACAAGCTCAGAAGACACCTGCTGAATGGATGTGAGGATTCAACAACTCGAAAAGTATTTATTGGCCGGGCGAGATGGCACACGCCTATGACCCCAGCACTGGGGAGGCTGAGGCAGGATGCTGACTTCCAGTTTGTGACTAGGCTGGGCTTCACAGTGAGTTCAAGGCCAGCCTGGACTACACTGCGCCACCTTGTCCCAACAAAACAAAACAAAACTGCCACCCCCTTGCTCTGCTTGCTCTTCCACGCCGACAGCTTTCGGAGCCACGAAGCGGGCCGGGGCACAGTGCGTCCCCTGCGCGGCCCGCCGCCCTTGCTCACGGACTCGGACTGAGCTCCCGACCGGGGTTCGCTCTTTCCCAGCAGTTCGTGCGCCACCTTACTCCAAGAGGACAGCGGGCCTCAGGCGGCGCGCAGAGGTCACTGCAGGCGCCCGATCCGCGAGCCCTGGCCGCGAGAGCGGGGCCTCGCAGGAGCTGCCGAAGAGGGCGGCGCCAGGGGCCGAGGATCAGCTACGCCGACGCCGCAAGCCGCTTCCAGGAAGGGGCGCGAGCGCGAAGGGGGACGGCACTGTGGGCAGTGCCTTCCGACGTGAGGGTCACGTGGCCCTATAAGGCACGCCCACTTCATGGGCGGGGCGCATGCAAATCATCCCGGGTGGCGGGCCAATCGCGGCGCGCGCCGGGGCTCCGGGCCCGGGACGGGACGCTGGCTGGAGTGCCGGCTCGCGTCGCCGCTGTGCCTGGCTCTGTGGCGAGCTGCGCTGTGAACCGGGCTGCAGCCGCTGGTTGGAGCTCCTCGTCCCGCGCGGCCGGCTGGGTGAGGCCGGGCCCGCGGCGGGGGGCAGGCGGAGGTGCCGCGGGCCGCTGCGGGTGCCGCGTGCTCCATGCGTCCGGAGCCCGCCCCGCCCCCGAGCAGCAGCCGCGGCAGCCAGGAGCTTCCCCTCGGCGGTGGCAGCGGGAGCCGCCGGAGCCGTCGCCACAGCGGGGACGGGGAGCCCCCGGGGTCCCCACCAGCGCCGCCGCCCGCCGTCAGCTGCCCGGACTGGGTCGGCCAGAGCTACTCCGAGGTGATGAGTCTCAACGAGCACTCGATGCAGGCGCTGTCCTGGCGCAAGCTCTACTTGAGCCGCGCCAAGCTCAAAGCCTCCAGCCGGACCTCGGCGCTGCTCTCCGGCTTCGCCATGGTGAGCTCGGGCCGCCCTGTCCTGCCCTGCTCTGCCCTGCCCCCGCCGCCTCGGCCGTGCCGATCCGCCCGCAGCCCCGACGGGGCCCGTGGGGAGCAGGCCGTGGGGTCCGGAGCGGCGACAGAGCCGTGCAGGTTCCCAGATTGGGGGGACTCAGGTGCCACCAGACGGGCAAGTTCGCGGCTGCACAAGTGGGAGGTACACGGCCGGAAGGATGCGTCCCTGAAGTTCGAACTAAAGGTCCGACCCACTTCGGGACAGGTGTTAGGAAGTGTGACACGCGAGGAGAGCAGTTTTTGCCTGACACTTGAGGCTAGAACGTGTTTATTTATTGGCTCCGCTCTCCATCCGCTAGCAGGGGGATTTCCTGACTCATTTGCACATTTTCTGAGAGCTTCAGCCTGGAGTTTGACAGCCACTCCCTACAGTTCTTCTGCAGAAACTCGCCACTGAGTCACTGGGTGTGGGGGAGGAGGGCGGGACAGGTTCCCCTTAACCTGCTCTTACTTGGTGAGAGGGTGAGAGGGTGTCCCATGAGAAGCTATGAGGGCTGGGGTGGGCAAGGCTGCAGCATAGGCAGAAGCCCGGGGCACAGCGCTCCTTAACTAGATTATTGTCACGTTGGATGACACCAGCCTGTGCAGATGGGGATTCCCCCCCCCCCAGCCTCCTGCTTCCCCAGTGGGTGAGCTCAGCCCTTGGCCTTGAGGAAAGGAGTGGCCGCACCCCGGTGTGTTCTTGGAAGAGTATGTTTCTGGGTCTCTCCCTGTGTTCTGCAAACAAGCGAAACACTGTGTTAGAGCGCAGGAGCTGCCGATTGGAAAGCAGAGCTGAGCTCTGAGGCAGCGGATCACTGCCTGTTTGAGGCCGCCTATCTCTGCTGGTGTGACCTCCTCCGGGCGTCACTCTTTCTCTGGAATTTGCTTTCTGAAATGATGCATGCAGACTCCTTTTGAAAAGTTTCTCTGGCCGGGTGTGATGGCGCAGCTTCTCTGAGAGGCAGAGGCAGGAGGATTGCTGTGAGGTGAGGTCAGCCTGAACTGCATAAGGAGATCCTGTCTCAAAAAGACCCCCACCTCAAAAAAAAAAGTTTCTCTGACTTTAAGAATGATACAGCTGGGGGCTGGGGATTTAGCTCAGTGGCGTAAGCGCCTGCCTTGCAAGCAGGCAGTCAGGAGTTCTATCCCTGGTACCGATAAAAGGAAAAAGACAAAAAAAAAAGAATGATACAGCTAAATGAAACAGGTGCCTGCCTGGCAAATGCAAAATGCTGAGTTTGATTCCTGGTGCCTCCTGCCACCCCCTCCCCCCAAAAAAAGAGGAGACGGGAGAGAGAGGGGATGAGAGCAGAAGGGAAGAGGAAGTGAAGAGGTGGCTCCCTAGTTTTCAGTTTAGGCCAGCGTGAAGAATTGTGAGCCATCAGTCCCTGCCCTATGCCTACTGGGGCCCAGGCACTGGTAGATTCCTCACTCCTGAACTTGCTCCTGTGTCAAGGGACTTTTGCAAGGCCGCGAGCTCACCCAGCAGGGCTGCATTTGAACCGAGGTCTGCTGGCATCCAAAACTTGGTTAGGTACACATGCCAATTGTCCATTCTTGAAATACACAGCTCTGGTCAGTGTCTAGCCAGGGCCAAGGTTGGATGGAGCCTAGGCCTAAGAAATAGAACAAAAGGAAGTTTTGAAGCCAAAGGAAGTTTTACACCTTGAGAGGAAGGAGCCACCAGTTTTGTGCCCCCCACCCAGTCCCACCCCTGCCAGTGCTCTGGGTTTAAGATGATAGGACATAAGCCAGGCTTGCATGGTGGCATGCATATGCCTCTAATCGGGGCACTCTTGGAGGCTGAGGCTGGAGGATCCTAAGTTCCAACCCAGCCTAGGCACCATAGCAAGACCCTGTCTCAAAGAAAAGAGGAGGGATGTGAGGATGCAGCTCATTGCAAAAGCAGGGTTCAGTCTGAGGTACTGCAGAACAAACAGTGGGGCATCGATCACCCGCTGCCCCGTCTCACCCTCGGAGAGGTGAGGGTCAAATGGTGACACTTTTGTCTTCTCGACTTCTCTTCCTTTGGAAGGGACCGGCCTCCTTCCTGTTGCTAAAAGCAGTGTGGGGAAGTTGGGAGCCCGGCAGCCCGGACATGGTTTGGGCTTCGCTGTTTCCTTGGGATCCTTAGATCCTTATTTTCCCCGGCCTGGGTGGCTCTTCACTGATGCTCTTCCCTAAATCTGCAGGCGGGAAAGGGCTGAACCCCAGCAGCTCTGTCCTGGGGGAGCAGTTAGCAGCGGGTTTGTCTGGAGCTGCAGGGGAGAGGCCAACACTTGGCCCGGAGAGGGCCTCAGTAGGAAGGGGTACCAGGCGGGCCCACAGCCATGCGACAGTGACAAGTTTCCTGGATTACTCCTCCTTGGCCTGTGAGTCAGCAGCACCAGCTTCCTGTCCCTGCGGGCGTTCTTCCTGGAGATCAGGAGAACCCAAGAATTGGGGACCTTTGGTCCCCAGGGCTGGGGGGGGGTGTCTGAGATGCTGAATTCACTTCGTGGCAGGTGAGGTTGAGGGCAGGTGCCCCAGAAGGCCTGGTAAGGAGTGAGCGGTCCCCCACTTGGTGGTGGAGGGGTCTGGCCCCGTGCCAGCCGAGTGCTAGGGACAGGCCTGGGGACCTGGGGCAAGTGGCTTCACCTCTTTGAAGTCTGTTTTCTCGTGTGTCCAAAGGTAGAAAGCACCTTCTCTCAGGGCTGGAGGGCCATTGGGTGGTAGAGTGCTTGCCTGCCTTGAGCACGGTGGTGGCTCAGTGCCCAGTACCATGAAGAACAGCAAAGCTTCTCCCCTGGAGCCAGGTGAGGATTTGTTATGTGGCTGGACCTGGCCGAGGAGGAGCTCAGGAGTTTCAGGATCGGGACTCTGCGATCTGCAGGCCAGGCTCCGTATCCCAGGCTCCCGGCCTTGCTGCGGGCCTTGCCTCAGGTTACCTTTCAGGGGTGGGGGGACGCAGGCAGCCAGCCCAGACTTGACCCCGTCTCCGGCAGGACCGTGGCGATCCTGGCCACCAAGGAGGGCAGGCTGTAACGTTAGCCTAAGCAGATAATTGGGAAGGTCAGGCTGCTGCCGTCCACAAAATGCTTTCCGTGACCTGGGATCAATTATTTTTGGATTATCTGCCTCCTCAGGTTCTCTGCCTGCCAGCACCCTTTTGTTCCCGGGGTCCTGAGCTGGTTTGAAGGTGGCAGGGAGATGGGATGACAGGCTCAGGTCATGAGAATTTATTGATGGGGGAAGGGGTGGTGGAGATGACAGCTGTCTCTGTCCCCACTCTGCCTCAAGCCCAAAGATCATCGGGGCTGTGAGTGATGGAGCTGTTGCTCTGGGCCAGCTCCTGACCCACAGGCTTTACAAGCAGGGCCACCAGTGTCCTCTTCCTGCACGCTGGTAAGGCAGGTGGTTGGCCCAGCAAGTGAATAGTGCAAAGTCACCTAGCTAGGGAGCCATGAGCCTTGCAATGGGTGTTGGTCTTGTGAAAGCCTCAGAGCCATAGGCAGACAGAGCTGAGGAGCTGACCCCCAGCAGGGTGCAGTCCAACAGGGAGCCAGGCAGGTCTGCCTGCCGATTCAGTTCCCGTCCCAGCTCTGGCTCTTAGGACTGTCTGACCTTGAGGACATCGCCCTCTCTGGGCATCTGTTTCCTCATCTATAAAATGAAGCAAGCGAGATGTGGCGGTACATGACTGTGATCCCAGTGTGCCAGAGTCTGAGGCAGGAGGAACACTGCCAGTTCAAGGCCAGTCTGAAGACAAGACGTAGAGAGTCTGAGGCCAGCTTGAACTATTTAGGGAGAGCCTCTCTCAGAAGAAACAAAAATAAATAAATAAATAAAACTGGGCATGGGAAGCTGAAGCAGGAGGATTGTGGTGAGTTTGAGGCCATCCTGGGCTACATAGTGAGTTCAAGACCAGCCTGAGTTACAAAGTGAGACCCTATCTCAAAAAATCAATCAATTTTTAAAATAGGGCAGTAGGGCTGGGTGGTGCTTGTGTAGCTCACCAGAGGCCCTGGGGTTTAATCCCAGCACTGTAAAACGGTAGCAATAAAAAATAAGGAAAATGGACTCATGATAACATCTCATTGGAGGAAAACAGGTACATGTTTGCGGAGCATTTACAGCACCGGCCAGGTATCCAGGAAGCTGCCACCTGTGCCCATGGGGTCCAAGTGGGAGCTGAGCCACCCGAACGTGGTTCCAACCGAGCATCCGGGATGGTGGAGTTAGGACTCGGAGAAGAGCCCTCTGGGCAGGGGAAGGCTGAAGGAAGCAGTGTGATCCCCAGGCAAGGCTGGGGGCTGCAGCGAGTAGGGCCATCGGTGTGAATGATGGAGGACCGCGATGGGGCAGTTAGGAAGCTTGAACTCTTGCCGGGTGTGTAATTCTAGCACACTGAGGCTGAGGCAGGAGGATCGTTGCGAGTTCCAGACGACCCTGGGCTACAAAGTGAGCACAAGGCCAGTCTGAACTGCATAGGGAGACCCTAACTGGGGTGGGGAGGGCTCTTGAACTCTTGTATAAGCAATAGGGAGCCATGGAAGGCTGCAGACGGACGGAGGGGCTGTGTGAGTTTGTGATACTGGTGGCGATGATGGTTATTAGCTCCTGAATCCTTGTTGTACCCGGCATGAGCCTGAAGGCCACTCTTTCAGTCTTTTTTTTTTTTTTTTTTTTTTTCATTTTTATCGGTACCGGGGATCGAACTCACGACCGCCTGCTTGCAAGGCAGGTACTTATGCCACTGAGCTAAATCTCCAGCCCCACTTTTCAGTCTTTCTTAATCCTCACAGCAGCTCTGAAAGAGAGGCTCCAGAAAGGAAAACGGCTGCTCCCAGCGGCTCAAACCGCTGTGGAGAAGACTCCAGCTCGGTGTGTCTCACTCAGGGCTTTCTATCCCTGCCACCAGCCCCTTTCGCTGGTTGGAGACTGGGCCTTTGAAGTCTTCCAGATGCTGGGCTCTGGGTGCCC